AAGAAAGAGTTTATGTAGGCGAGCAGAGCAGAGGTGGCTGGCTCTATAGGCAGAGAAAGGCCAAAGCAGAGACAAAGGTAAGGCCTGGCTAGACCTTCTCAGTTACTTCCCTGGTGAGGTGGGTTGTCGCCCAGCTGTGCAGCACTGTAATGAAATACCCCAGGCAGCTGAGTGAAGGTTTGTTTGTTGTGTGAGTTCACATTTAATTCCCAGGTTAGCTGGGAAGAAGAAGGCGTTACTAGTCATAAAATTTCACTATTCAGCTATTTTTTGATGAGAACTGTGATTTGGTGAAGGTTTGCTTTGGCTCCTTCTTCTGCAGGACCCAGTCCAAGGTCCAGCAGCCCTGTGCTCTGGGCCTCTAACCAGGGCTGCACACAGCACAGAGGCTCCCCCACAGTCCAGTAACAGCCAGAGAAACAGCTGGTTGCCCATAATCCCCAGTGAGGCTCCTCCTCCACTGGCCTAGGAAGCCCTCACAAGGCTCCACCTCTTATGGGGACACAGAACCTCCCAGGGGTGCCACCTGGGGAGTACTCAGGTTTTGGGGAAACATCTAAACCATAGCGGGTAAAGACCAGGACAATAGACAACAGAAAAATAAAACAAAAAAAGATTAAGTTACTCTAAGTCTGATTTTTTTTTCTTTCTTTGAGTGAGGGTCTCATGAAGCCCAGGCTAGCCTCCAACTCGATATGTAGCTAAGGCTGGCCTTGCTGATCCTCTTACCGCCATCATCACTTTCTGGAATTACAGGTGTGCATGAACTTCTGTATCTGCCTCTCTTTTTGGAAAGGTCAAGCGAGAGCTTAATTTTGATTTGGTGACATGGAGTCTCGGCATGGGTGAGGTAATTTGAAGTTCAGTGCCTGAAGGGGACTCCCACACAGCGGGGGCTCCCTTCAAGACCCCGGATTAGGCACAAACCACACCCAAATACCTGTTTTCGCAGAGAGATCCTTTATTAAGTAGGGAAGAAAAGCTAAAGAGGCTGCTTTCTGTCTCTGGCAGAAAAACAGCAGTGAATAACCTTGCTGGGTGTCATTTTAAGAAGAGAAAGAGGGGAGGTCTGTGTTAGAATGGGCTAGGATACAGGGGTACAGAAGACGGGGGAAAGGAATAAGGGAAAAGAGAAGGGGACGTGGGTAAGGGGGGGGAGCAGGATGTTTGTCCCAGAGAGACAAAGTTCTGCCTCTGGATAGAGTGAGAACAGATGTGGCCCATAGGCAACTATCTGTTTATACGGGTAAAATAAGAAACCCTGTGTGAGGATGAGGTGTTTAATTTTAATTGGGCATGTTAATTGGGGGGGGAGTAATAACTGTACTTCCATACTTTGATAGCTGGACCTCGGTCATCAGCTGCAGGAGGAGGAAGTGGCCAAATAAGGGAAGAGACCTTGGAGGCTAGCTTTAGAACTGTTCTTGGGTTGCCTTGTCCTGAGCGGTACAGATGCCGAAGCCTGGCAGCAGCGACAGAGATACACACTGTCTGCTATACACTGAACACTGCACAAGCTCACACAACCTCACCAGGGAAGGAACTGGAGAACATCCGAAGCTTCGGGGACACCTGTCTACACACAGGCATTTCCTCAGCTCTCAGCTGTGCAAAGGACCTCTAATGGTCCCTTCCTGAACAAACGACCAGCCTCAGGGCTGTTTCAGGGCAGAACAGAAGGTTACACAGAGAAGAACCCTGATTGGTCAGTTTGGGTCAGATGCTCATTTGTAGGCCAGCCAGTAGGAAGGCCATATGAGAAAAGATGGCAGCTTCCGCTTGAATTGCCTGCTGGAGTTGAGGTGACCCTTTATAAAATGGAGGAAGAAGAGCCGGAGAGATGATTCAATCTGTAAAGTTTTGCTGTAGACCCGAGTTCACCTCTCCAGCACTCATGTAAAAAGCTGTGTACCCGTTGTCCCCAATCAGGGCACAGGCAAAGACAGGACAGCGGGATCCCTGGGGCTTGTTGGCCACCCAGACGAGATGAATTGATGAGCTCCAGGTCTAGTGAGAGATTCCCGTCTTAAAAGAAATAACAGAGGTCAATAAATAAATAAAGGCAAGGACTGGAGAGAAGGCTCAGCAGTTAAGAGCACATCCCGCTCTTGCAGAGGACCAGAGCGTGGTACCCAGCTCCTGTGTCGAGCGGTTCACAACCGGGTGTAACTCCAGCTCTAGGGGAGCACACACCCTGTTCTGAACTCCACAGGCACCAGCACCCACGTGTGCACAGACACCCCCCCCACATAATCATAAATAAGGTGGGAAGTGTGTGCACACATGTGCACATACACGCATTCGTATATACAGACATGTGCACGCACACACACATATACGCTAACAGAATGAAAAGGAGGAAGATACTGAGATGTCAAAACAGTCAGTGCTCACTGCCGTCCACCTCTGGCGCCACAGTGTAACCTGCCCTTCCCTGATGGAGGAGCCTGTCGCTACCAGGCAGCTTCGAGCCAGCCCCAGCCTGGCCGTGAGACACACTGGCCATCCTCCCAGCACTCTTATAGCTATGGCATCCCACCGAACGTCTAGCGACAGTGGATTTTTGAGGTCCTGGGAGTGATGAGCTACATAATAAAAGTATTCTCTTCCAGCATGATAACACAGATCATGAAGAAACAGGAAACTCCGAGAGGAGACACTGACTCTGGCAGCAGTTACGTTCAGTAAACTCTGTTTACAGCTTCCACATCTGATGACTACCTGGGAACAAAATACCGCAGAATCATAATGAGCACCCAGACGTGGACACAGGGAGTGAGACAGGCAAAAACAAAGTTGGCATGACAACTACAAACCAAGTAACCACAGGAAGACGGTGCCTAGTGCTCTCTTCTCTGGCAGACCAGGAACAGGCTGCAGTCTAGGCGTGTGGACTGCCTTGTTCTATTCTGGAAATAAGAACCCTGTCCAGATGTCCCACCATATACACTAGAGTGTGCCCTCCTACACAGGGTCAGACTGGCACAAGTGTCTCATCCAAGGTTTAGCCTTTGCTGGACAAGGTGGTGCATGCCCTTAATTCCAGGAGGCATAGGTTGGTAGATCTCTATGAGTTTGAGGCCAGCTTGATCTACAGAACAAGGTCCAAGCCAGCTAGGGCTACATCCTGAGATCTGTCTCGGCAATACAAAAGAAAACCCAGTGTCAAGCCCTAGGAAGGGAAAGAGGAAGTGGAGGACCAGCAGTGAGTTTCTAGAAAGGTCACTCATTACTAGTACTGCTTCCGTTCGTGCTCATTGGTGTAAACTGCACTCCTGGGCTGGGGAGATGGCTTAGCTGTGCAAGCATCAAGGACCCGAGTTCAAATCCCAAACACCCATCCAAGTAAAAAGCTGGGTGTGGTCACATTTGCCTGTAATCCCACTGCTGTTGGGATATTGTAGGGAGGCAAGAGGCTGCTTGGAACTGGCTTACAGCAGCATCTAGTATCCTCCTTTGGCTTCCACAGAATGTGCACAGACATGTGCATGTCTCAGGCACACATTCAAGCCAGCAAAACTGCAGGACTTCAGGAAGCTCCAAGGTGGGCTGGAAAAGGTGGTTTCCAGCTGGGTAGCTCTGTGCCCAGCTGAACTCAAGTGGGAAGCAGTGAAGCAGCCTCTGTCCCCAGGCCTCCCTGCAAGGATCTCTACACATTCTTTTTCCCATACACAAAGCACCCACCTACCACCTGGCTAAGGGAGGCCTCTGAGATCAGAGTCACACAGCTGCCCCGCTTGATTCTTCTTGGGTCTGGATGTAGCTCTACTGGATCAATGGCTAACGAATTGAACGGTTTTCTGTCCCCACCTCCCATCCTTTCCCACAATGCAATGTGGAGTTACAAATGGTGAATGACAGTGGAATCTCCCACAACACACAGTCACCAGCCATGGCAGCTAACGAACCCTCAGATGGGAACTGTCCTGGCACATCCCTTGTCTGTTGTCTGCTGGGGTCTCTAGCTTAGCTATTTGGGAACCTCTTCCTTGATCATGTCGTCACTGTGACACATTTGCTGAGAGCACTGGGGAGCTAGTGCCATGGCTCATAAGAATACTGGCTGCTCTCATAGAGGACCCTGGTTCAGTCTTCAGCACCCATATGATGGCTCACAACCATCTGTGACTCCTGTTCCAGTGAATCCAGCGCCCTCTTCTGGCCTCTGTAGGCACCAGGCACACACGCAGGGTTCATATACACCTGCAAAACATACACATAAAAATGAGTAAAACTTAAAAAACAAAAGCGTTCGGACCTATGATGGTCCTCGCTGCCATTTTCACCTCTTAGATGCACACTGGAAGGCAATTCGCTCCTTCACACTAGGCAAGCAAGCTGCCAGTTAGCTCTCTGTTGACTTGGTCAAGCCTCAGCATCTCTCTTTGTCTTGAGCTTGACCTTAGGGATGCTGAGGCTGTTCACTGCCCAGTCGCGATGCCTTCTGCTGGGGAGCCAGTCTTAGCGTTAGGGAAATGAAGACCTGAGCATTCTCAGAAATCCGCCGTACCGTGGGCCCCAGTGTCCCTCACTGCTTCTGGAAACATCGCCCCCCTCCTTTCCAGCTTTGTTAAACAGTGGGCCCCTCCCTGGCCTGAACTGGGAAACTGTCCTTCTTAGGGTTTCTATTGCCGTGATAAAGACCAGAAGCAAAGGCGACTTGGGGAGGAAGGGAGCCCACTTGACCTGCAGTTTCCCATCATAATCCACCACTCACTGAAGGAAGCCAGAACAGGAAATGGAGAAGCCACGGGTGGGGTGCAGGCAGGGTGGTTCCTCCTCATAGTTTGCACCAACCACATCAATCATCCATCAAGAAGATGCCCCCACAGGCTTTGCTTGCGGGCATGGGCATTTTCTCAACCGAGGTTCCCTTTTCCCAAATGACTCTATCTTGTGCCACGTTGATATAAAAGAGGCACTAGGAAGCTCTTACGACATCCGCATCAGGAGCCGGTTCTGTTGTCCGTAATTACCATTGGTCTTTTCTCTCCCCTCAGGCTGCAACATTGAAAATGCCTGCTACCCACTGGGTGTGTGTGCGGAGCGGACTGCCATTCAGAAGGCCATCTCAGAAGGGTACAAGGATTTCAGGGCTATTGCTATCGCCAGGTGAGTGGGATAGACCAGTCACAGCAAAATTCTTTATTCTTCCAGCTGATGTCCCCCTACACAACCCATTCCTTCATTCACCAGACCCATGTCTATTGTACATGTTCTTCTTGGCAGACATGGGTCGGCCCTGCGGCTGGGTGCTAGGGATAAGGAGGTAAATAAGAAACAGAGTCTGAGGCTGGGGGCATGGCTCAGTTGTTAGAGTGCTTGCCTAGTATGCAAAGACCCTGGGTTCGACCCCAGCATCTAATAAAACTAGATATAGTTGCACACCCCTGTAATCTCAACTCTCAGAAGAGGGCATCAGATATCCCGGGACTGGAGTTACAGGTGTTGTGGCGCACCATGTGGGTGCCGGGAATCAAACTTAGGTCCTCCACAATAACAATTGCTCTTAACCATGGAACCATCTCTCTGGTCCTTTAAAAGGTGTTTGAAATGTAGACTTTAAGCACAAAGGTTAGTAGAAAGAGAGACACACAGGAGAAGAACGAGACTTACCCAAGAACTGGTTATTGTCTCAAAGGAAATGCGCACTGTGTTGTCCCAGGGGTGACCTGAAGGGTTTGGAAACTGGGATCTCATCGTTCATCTGGTTTCTAGGGGCTCCTCCCTTCCTCTAACTTTTTCTCTCTCCTTTCTTTTTTTTCCGTTGTTGTTTTGTTTGTTTGTTTGTCTTGAGAAGGGATCTTACTGTACAGCCCTGGCTGGGTACACAGCTCTGAAACTTACTATAGACCAGACTGTCCTTGAACTCACAGAGATCCTCCTGCCTCTGCCTTCCTCAGAACTAGAGGTGTGCACCATGCCTGCCACATTCTTGATTCTCAGCTCCTGCGAAGCTTCAACCAGACTCCTGAGTGAGCAGCTCCTTTCCCTTTTCACGTCCCCTTTAATTCCATGTCTTTCTGGTCCGCCTCAGACTCCACCCTCAGGGTTAGCCCACAGAGCAGATAGACCCAGGGAGACTCTGACACAGAAGGTGTGTTTCTGTTCCGACAACAGCAAGTGCATCACGGTCCCCCAGAGGTACAGCAGAAAGATGTCACACAGAAACAACAGGAGGACCCGAAAGTCACTTGGTATAGACTCCCTTGCCACCACAAAAAATAAGCAGACAAAACCCCAAGGTCTGAGAAGTTAAGGGAATTTCCAGAGAGTTAGGGGTAAAGCGGGGACAAAACCCAGGTCTCAGAGTCCACAGTGGTTACTGTGCCAGGAGGCCAGATGCTGTTCAAATCTGCTAACTTCAGCACCCAGGTGAAGGTGCCAAAACCATGGTCTAAAACCAAGCAGGGTGGTGACCTGGTGACAGCCATGTAAGCAGTGACTATGTGTTTCAGACTAACCCAACTCCAGCTAGGCTCCAACTGGATAAGAATTTCAGCCAAGGGCTGGAGAGACGGCTCAGAGGTTAAGAGCACTGGCTGCTCTTCCAGAGGTCCTGAGTTCAGTTCCCAGCAACCACATGGTGGCTCACAACCATCTGTAGTGAGATCTGGTGCCCTCTTCTGGTATACAGGCAGGACACCATATACATAATAAACAAACACACAAATAAATAAATAAAACCTGCAGTCAATGCTCTCTTGTGGCCCAGATGTGGTTGCTCTGACTCCCATGGGGAGTGTGGTGGGATCTTATTGGAGCTGGACCGAGACTGCTTGGCTAAGAATAAAGCCTATAAGAATGGGTTCTTTTACTGATTTAGACCCCAGTAATTTAAGGCTTTTGCAGTGAGCTGCATTTGGGTGCCCCTTTTATATTGACTAGGAGAAAAGGAACCTTGGCAAGTTAATGGTTGAGGAAACTCACACGGGGAAACAGTGAACCCAGCGAGCAGAGCCGCTGACCAAGCTTCGGTCTTTAGCAGCGTGGGACACAGACTCTGGAAGAATCATTTCTTCCTATGAAGGGAGTTGCAGCCGGGGAGAGAAACAGGGGCTGTGAGAGCAAGGCTGACATGGTTTGTGCAACAGCAAGGACCTGGCTTTCGCAAGAGCCTGTGCATTGCTTCAGTCTGGTCCAGAGGGGGTTCAGAGTACCCGAATACCATGCTGGAGTGACTGGGCCAGGTATGCCCTTGAGAATCAAGGTGGAGATTCCCAGCTTTCTCTGGAGCCGAGGGCTGTCCAAGCTTCCCTGCAGCTTCCAGAGGATAAACAAGGCTGTGCTGGGAACTTTTTGTGCAGCTGAGGACAGATTGGGATGTGCGTTGCACTTTATGAAGAAATGGGGAGAAATAACTCAATTTCAAAGCTGGTCCAAGAAAGTAATGATGTTCTGGGGGAAGAGAGGCCAAAACCAGCAGAATGATGCAGTAGCCTGCAGGTTCTGTTAGTGTTTGCCCAATGAAAGGCTTTTTCCTCTTGCTCCTCACATGCTTTTAAATATGACCAAGAGGGGATCACTGTGATCAGCAGATGTCCTTATACAACACCCAGAGTTTCCAGCACCCAGCTGGCCTTCTCTGGATTTTTAACACACAACCATATCCCCCGCCAGCGATGCAGTCATTATCATACTACTGACTTATTAAACAGAAAGCATGCATTTAGAGGAAGAAAGGGAAATGCCAGCCAGCTCATATTGGCACAGAACGGGGCTGAGAAGTCCATGTCTTTCCCTGGGATCACAAAGGACAGAGATGCTATGGGCGTTGGCAGAGCCAGGTGACAGGAGCTTCTGTCTTACCAAGCTGAGCGTAACCTCATCATGTAACCAAGGTCTGCACAAACCACAGGAAACCCTTGATTGCCAGGAAAAAGAACCCAGGTGTGCTAGTTTGAAAGAAAATGGCCCCCAAAGGAAGTGGCACTACTAGGAGGTGTGACCTTGTCGGAGTAGGTGTGGTCTTGTTGGAGGAAGTGTGTCACTGTGGGGGCGGGCTTTGAGGGTTCATAAATTCCCAAGCCATGCCCAGTGAGATAGTTCACTTCCTGTTGCCTGCAAGATGTAGGACTCACTTTCAACTCCTCCAGCACCATGTCTGCCTGCATGCCGCCATACTCCCCCCCCCATAATGATAATGGACCAAACCCCTAAATTGTAAGCAAGCCACCTCAAGTAAATGTTTTTCTTTATAAGAGTTGCTGTGGCCATGGTGTCTCTTCACAGCAATAGAACCTAACTAAGACACGAAGCGTGGAGAATTAGGAAAGCCTTGGGGAGATGTCCAAATGCAACCTGCATGTCTGAGGGTTAGTGCTCACTCTTGGCAGGAATGTTGAGTGACACGTAAAAGCCCCGCCTCCAGGGTCTCTGTGGCTGGGTTTCCATTCTTTCTCACTTCTACCTAAGGTCTTTGTAAGACTCGGAACCTGGCTGTTTTATTTTATTTTATTTTTTAGACTAAGTCTCATGTAAGCCAGGCTGGCCTCGAACTCACTTTGTAACTGAGGCTGTGACCCTGAAAGTCTAAGCTTCCTGCCTTCACCTCTTGGGTGCTGGGGTTATAGGTATGTATTCCTGCTTTGTGCAGTACTGTGGATCAACCCCTGTGGCCTCTGTGCGTTATAGTCAACCCCGACTACAATCCCAGCCCTCAGCCTGTTTGTTTGTTTTTCAGGACAGGATTTCTCTGTGTAGCCTTGGCTGTCCTGGAACTTGCTGACCAGGCTGACCTCGAACTCACAGAGATCCGCCTGCCTCTGCTGGGATTAAAGACCTGAGCCACCACCGCCTGTAACATAAGCGGTCCTGTTTGTTGTTGGCCTGATTTTTTTTAAACTGTACAACTCACGAGGGGAACAGTACCCTGCTGGGCTGTTGGCAGACTGCATGGAATGACTTCTATGAGCTCGCTAGCACATGGTATGTTATCCATGAGAACCCCAGTTGTGGAGTTATCCTTGGGACTTCTGTGAGCCACAAGAAAAGCAAAGGCAGAGTGCATGGGTTCTTAGTTCAAATCCTGGTCCTGTCCCTGACTGGCTCTGTGACCCTGAGGAAGTTGTTTCTTTCATGGCCTCTAATGTGGCTCACATATTTCAGGGTGTTGGGGTGTTGAAGGAGTGGCGGGCTGCATCCCGGCTCCCGCACGGCTAGCTTTACCCAAAATAATTACACGGAAACTGTATTCTTTTAAACACTGCTTGGCCCATTAGCTCTAGCCTCTTACTGGCTAAATCTCACATCTTGATTAACCCATTTCTTTTTTTTTTATTTATTATGTATACAATATTATGTCTGTGTGTATGTCTGCAGGCCAGAAGAGGGCACCAGACCCCATTCCAGATGGTTGTGAGCCACCATGTGGTTGCTGGGAATTGAACTCAGGACCTTTGGAAGAGCAGGCAATGCTCTTAACCTCTGAGCCATCTCTCCAGCCCTTGATTAACCCATTTCTATTAGTGAGTGCAGCACCACAAGGTAGTAGCTTACCGGGAAGGATCTTCACCTGCGTCCATCTCGGAGAGGAGAGCTATGGCGAGGCGACTGCTTCACTCAGCTTTCTCCCAGAATTCTGTTCCGTCTTCCCCGCCTACCTATGTTCTGACCTATCAGAGGCCAAGCAATTTCTTTATTAATTAATCAATGAAAGCAACAGATAGACAGATGACCCTCCTCCATCATTGGGGGTACTAAAGGAGCTGGTTGGCTGTCTCCTCTTTAGAGCCCGAGCAGTGCACAGTAAAGTGAGCCACGTTCTTCTCAGAGTCCCCGGCATGCGCAGCTCAGAACTTTTCTTTCATGGTTGAGACCACAGCTGAATCCAGCTTCCTGGTAGGGTGTGGGATTGGTCTCCTGGAGACTCCTGACTCAGGCCACCTTGTGCAAGAGAGGAAATGACAGGGCCATATCACATAGGGTCTGACCGACCTTGGAAGGGAGGCTGAGCTCCCTGGGTGACTTTTCTGGTCTTGCCCACAGTCTGTCTCCACAACAGCTTTTCTTTGCTGCTTTGTCTCTCTGTTTGGGTGGTAAGGCAGTGATGAGGGCCCCCGAGGGTCTCCATTGCTCCTTTTCCATGACTGCCTGGCTTACAACATGCCCTGAAACAACACAGGAAAAAGGCAATAAAACCTGAGATAGTCTAACCTTGTAACACCTGCCACCCAGAAACCACACGAGTTAGCTGGATTCACAGAGCTTCCTGACAGAGGCCCCCATTCCCACATGTTCGAGTGGCTATTCTCCTGAAGCGGGAAGCCTCAGGGAGAACCCCACCTCTTCATGGAGCAGAACCATTCTCTGATTTGCCAGGCACAATAAAGAACTCCTTTAATCCCAGCACTCAGGAGGCAGAGGCAGGTGGATCTCTGTGAGTTCGAGGCCAGCCTGGTCTACAGAGAGAGTTCCAGGACAGCCAGAGCTATGGAATGATACCATGTCTCAAAAAATCAATTAGCTAATTCATTAATTAAAATGTAAAACAGAAACATTCTTCGACTCGACCTCAGATCAAAGCCAATTATTATAAAATCTAAAAAATAGCCCCTGACTGCTCTGTCCCTTGTCCCCCTTTTTTTTTTCTTTTTCTTTTTTTTTTTTTGCCTTGATCAATTGCTGGCTGGTTAGCTGGCACCTTCCTGCCATCAATCTAGAAAGTCCTGGTCACAGTGCATGTGTGTCTTTGTCATTGTTGTACCAGTGGCAGCACGCAGTGCCAGGCACACAGGAAGTGCTCAGTAAATATTTGCCATCTGAAATGAGCCAGCACCTGTAGAGCCCTCTGCAGGGAGGTGAGCGTGCTAGGCACACAGTCCACAGCACGACAGCTACTGTTAACACACAGTGCGATCAATCATAAGCAGCATAAAGCACGGGGTAGCTAATAAAGCGGGAGGTGATAAAGTATTAAGATGATGGCAGAGATTGCAAGTGGAAGGGAGCAGGTGTGCAGAAATTAGCCCAGGCCATAACAATATAGCATTCCGATTCCGTGGCTTATAAAACCCTGGGTTGGGGATTTAGCTGAGTTGGAAGAGTGTCTAGGTAGCATGCACCCTGGGGTGCATCCCCAGCACTTCAAAAGAACTGGGCATGGCCTTACAGGCCTGTAAGACTGGAACTCAGGAGGTGGAGGCTGGAGGATCGCAAGGTCAAGGTCATCCTCAGCTAGTCGGAGGCCAGCCTGGGCTACGTGAGAACCTGTCTTAAAAACAGTAAAGTTTACACAGACATGTTATCTCATTTTGTTGAACCCCTGCCAAGTAGATGACATTGTTACCCACGTGTTCAGACAAAGGAACAGTCCCTGGGTGACTTAAGATGACTCAGAGCTGCACAGTGAGCAAAGCAGGGAGTTGGCCAAGAGTCAGAATCCAAACCCCATGTTCTTGTAAAGCAGTCACAGAGCTGTGGGCTCCCAGGACAGGGACCATGGCACCAGGCACCATGGCCCTGCAGTGAGATCTGTGTTCGCTAGGCACCGTCCTTTGTCCTCTGTCCTGACTGGAAGTCTGTGTTCCGGCCTCTCTCAGATGCCGGGAGCCCATTTTCTTCTTTGCTACACATACGTGGTGTTCTTCTGCACCCAGGGCCCTTGTGTGTAACCTTTCTTCCTTTTTCTTCCATTCCCTTCTTTCTTTTTACAGACATTTTTACATATGTGCGTTGTATGTATGTGTGTGCACATGTGTGTGTGTGTATGTGTATGTATGTGTATGTGCCAAGGAAGGTTTCAGCTTCTTTAGAGACAGAGTTAAAGATGGTTGTGAGCCCCCCTGTGGGTGCTGGGAGTGGAACTCGGGTCCCCTAAAAAAAGCAACACATACTCTTTTTTTTTTTTTTTTTTAGTTTTTCGAGACAGGGTTTCTCTGTAGCTTTGGAGCCTGTCCTGGCACTAGCTCTTGTAGACCGGGCTGGCCTCGAACTCACAGAGATCCGCCTGCCTCTGCCTCCCGAGTGCTGGGATTAAAGGCGTGCGCCACCACTGCCCGGCAACACATACTCTTAACCACTGAGCCATCTCCTCAGCCCCCCACTTCTTTCTCATATTTATTTCTCTAAAACACAGAGCACCTCCTGGACTTTAGAATAGCCTTTCTGTTATTCATCTCACCAAACCTATGACCTCACTAATAAAACAACTCCCCTGATATACTGCTTGTTCTGAAAATTAAACCAAACGACACAGTTAAATGCCTGGTACAGTAGAGTTTCACTAAGTAGGAATGCAAGACTCTGTTCTTCCTGCGAGACCGGGCTAATGCCACCCCCTGTGTGAGACACCGTCTCGCTCCAGTGGCAGGCTTATTACTGTGCATTCTTAATGCATTTTACTTAATAGTGATAATAATAATAATAACAATAATAAGTCACCTAGTTTTGTGTTACCCGCTGGGACGAGCCTTCCTATGAAGGATAGAGACAAGCTCTCTGTCACCCCTGTCTCCTGGAGTGTGGGTAACAAGACAGCTAGGTGTCCATCAGCATGTACGAGTGCGCTGATGAGGACAGCATTGCCACCGTGACTTTGCTTTCAGAAGTGTGGCCAGCTGCCAAGTCGCCTTCCCAGCCTCCAGGACACAGTGATTCTGGGAATCAGGAGTTGTCTGCTGGGGTGTGACCTGATTTGCAGGACAGGGGCTCAGTATGTGAATCTCAGGCATCGGCCACAAGCCTTGTGACAGACAACCCTGAGTTGAGTCTTTGTTTCCCCAGCGACTTGCAGGAAGAGTTCATCTCTCCGTGAGGAGCCTGCCGACAAGTTATGAGAGAGGTAAGGGTGTGGGCGGCTCCTCCCCGGAAAACACGCCTACGGTCTCTCGGGGGCCACACCAGACTCCAGTGTGGACTGGTACTGTGCGGTCCACCTGGCTGGCTGACTCCTGTGACCTTCCTGGGGCCACTTGAGTCACTGGAAATGAGTCCCTCTTCCAACATATGCATACTTACAGCTCTCTGGGCATATACACACTATACATTACTATACATACTGACAGCTCTCTGGATACATACATACTATACATTACTATACATACTGAGCTCTCTGGTTGTTGGTGCCAGCCCCTGAGCCAGCACGGGATGAGCCAGGCCAGGCTTGCCCTCATTGAGCTTCAAGCAGCTGTGTGAGAAAATACAGGAAAAGAAGTTGGGGGATAAAGGGACAGCAGGGGACAGAGAACAATAAACTCCAGCCTGCAGGCCAATCCCAGCATGCCTCTTGATTGTAGATTTTTCTGGTAGGGGCACAGCTATGGCCAATCGCTGCTGCATTGGCGGTGACCACTCTGGCTCCATGGTAGCAGGGCTGAGCAGTTACAGGAAGACCACACAGTCTGGGAAACCTCCCCCCCCCCAAATAAATTTCCTGTTTGTCCGTTGTCAGCAAAAGCTTTCGCCACCTTCTGCTCTAGTGGCGAGGAGGGACTTCTCTTTGAAGGTGACATTCTAGTTGAAATATAAATCATGAAAAGCAATGAGACAGAGAGTTCTAGAGAAGGAGAATTCTAGACAGAAGGCAGCAGGTTTCACATTGACCTAGATGTTTGCTATGTGATGGAGAGCAGAAGGGCAAAGGGCAGTGGGGGAGGGGGAGCAGTGGGATCTAGCATCACAGGCATTGGCTGGGGCTGGGTCAGAAGGCTGTACCAGCCAGGGAACAGAAAGCACGTTTATTCCAAAATAAAGAGAAACACAAATGGCAAGTTTTGCATAATGTGTGTTTTACTACCGTTTTCGGGAAATCAAGAAAAGCGAGGCGTGGTGTTGCACGCCTGCAATCCTAGAACTCAGGAGTCGGCAGGAAGTTTGCTGCAGGTTTGCGGCCAGCTTGGGCTGCTTAGCAATTTCCAGGTCAGCCGTGGCTATCCAGCAAGATCCTGTCTCAAAACAAACAAGCAAACAAAGAACAAAATTGAAAAAGCAGAGAGAGGGAGAGAATAAAGGGGAAGTCAATAGAGGATTTGAAGCAAATTTTATTATCTTATTATTTATTATTTTTCATAGGGGTGTTGTGTGAGTGCAAGTGGGTACCACAGTACGAGGGTGGAGGTCCAAGTACAACTTTTAGGAGTCCATTCTCCCCTACCATGTTGGCCTCAGGGATCCAACTCAGACAGTCATGCTTGGCAGTGAGGACCCTCACCCGCTGAGTCATCTTGCTGGCTCTGGCAAGTTTTATAAAACATACCAATGCGAGGCTTTGATTTTGTTAACTGTGAAGACTAAAGGGTGGTTTGGATGGTGGGCTGGCTGACTGGTTGGTTTTGCTGTCCTGGGGATGGATGGAACCCAGGGTGTGGTATGCGGCAGACAAATACTCTACACCCAACTACTGCCCATCCCTCACTAGGGTTCTCATTCAGGCCCAGTAGGAGCCTGACGTTATTGTGCACATTGGGGGATGTCAGGAAGACTTAAGTATTCTCAGAGAAGCCCATATCTTCTGTGATCTTCCCGAATAAAGGCCACAAGCCCAGAGAGTCCCAAGCGTGGCCCCTAAGCTGTGGCTTGCTATGAGAATACTCAGAACCTGTCAGCTCTGTCAGCCCCACCCAAGCCCAGGACAAAAACAGCTGTCGTCATTTTATCTCCATCAGTATCAAAGGAGAGCAAGCAGTCCCTGAGGAGCAATGGCAGCCAAGGCTGACTCCAGGCTCCTTGCCCCTCTCACTGCCTATGCCTCCTGCATGCACCCCTGGGCCACGTGCAGGAAAGCGTGGGGTTTGCCACAGGGCAGGCACATGCTACCTGCTGTGTTTTGCTTTGGAACTCGTACTGGGCGAAGGGCAGTTTGGCTTGTCTGTCTTGTGCTTCCGGGCCCTGCAGTTCACAGAGCTCATCTCTCCCGAGTCCAGATGGAGAAGCCACCCCAGAGGCATTTAATTCCCAGAGTGACTTTCACCTCACCACAGCCGCCCAGTGCAGTGACCATGTCTAAGGGATCCACCAGCAAGGACCAAATCTCTAGCCGCCAAGGTCCCAACCTGATCCGTGTGCTCTTATGGCCATTTTCTCCAAACAGATTATTAGATGAGGGGAGAGGGGAGAGAGAGAGAGAGAAAAAGAGAGAGAGAAAGAGAGAGAGAGAGAGAGAGAGAGAGAGAGAGAGAGAGAGAGAGAGAGAGAGAGAGAGAGANATCTGGAGGGGGGAGGGAAACCTGAAACCAAATGTGAACAGTGAGTCATGAGGCCTGGGAACCAGGGACCTGGCATCTAAACTTGCCCACATCAAGCTTGTGTCCGTACCCTCAGGCACAGCCTGCTGTGCAAGAAAATGTCCTACCTTGAAACCTTAATTCCGAAAACCCCGAAAGATTGATAGTGTCTATTAACAGTTCAGTGATTCGGACAGATGTGTGGAAGACCAGGAGGCCATGGAGCAGCCTCAGCCTCTGCTGGCAGCCCCCACATCAGTCATGGTGCCACAGCCTCTGTGAACTGGGCACCTACTAAATGCCAGGATCTGTGAACCACACCATGCCTGCCAGGATGAAGCTGGGTCTGTTGACTTCATCTCTATCACTGACCTAACTCTCCACCTACCCAGTATCCTTTCCTATCACTAAAACACCTCAAAAATGAAGGTAGTGAGCCCCCAGAGGACCTACAGCAAGCAAGGGCGTGGGAGAACGTTCTGGAGATGTGTTTGTCTTTGCTGATGTATTAGCAACTTTACTATTGCTGTGATAAATCACCGTGATCAAAGCGATTTAAGAAGAAACAGTTATTGGGGCTTATGGTTCCAGGGGGTTAAGGTCCATAATAGAAGGGCCAGCAAATGGCAGATGCGGTAGCTGGAGAAGAAAGCAGGAAACAGGGAGTGCTCTGGAAACCATGGCTTTTGAAACCTCAAAGCCTGCTTCCAGTGACACTTCCTCCAGCAAGGCCACACTTCTGAAACCTCCCAAACAGGCCTACCAACTGGGGACCAAGTATCCAAATGCAATGTCTCTTCCAAACCACCATGGCTGACTTGATACCAGTAAAGCCTCAGCTTCCTCAATAAAACAAACACAATGGGAGCCAGCACCTCCATGGTCAGATAACGCTATATCACAAACATAGTATGTTGAGTCTCGTCAGACAGACACAAACTCCTCCGGGAATGAGACACAGAGGTGAACCTGTAAGGGGCTACAGATGTCAGCTGTCCTGTAGAAGGAAGCCTTGGGCATGGACTTTTATTTAATTTTAGTTTTAGTTATGTCTATGGGTCTATGTGGGGGTATGTGCATTCAAACACAGTTGCCCACGAAGGCCAGAAATATCAGATCTTCCGGAGCTGGAGTTGTAGGAAATTGTGAGCCTCCGAGTAGAGGACTTGGAAATGAAACTTGGTTCCTCTGCAAGAGTACTGTGTGCTTTTAACCGCTGAGCCATTTCTCCAGCCCAGGGCACAGGTGTTTCGATGGTGGCTAGGAAGATGGCTCACTTGTGTGTAGCCTTGAGGAACAGAGTTTGCATCCCCAAGAACCCACGTGACTGCGAGGTGGTCTAGGCAGATGGTGGCAATCCCAGTCTTTAAAGGCAGAGACAGAATTCCTCAGAGCAGATTGGCTGGTAGGACTAGCCCTAGGGGTGAGCTCTGGGTTTGATGGAGAGACCCTGCCTCAGTGAATAAGGTGGCAGAGCCATGGAGGATGATTCGAGACCCAACCCTTTGGCTTCCGCGTGCATGTGCTCCCATGTGTGCCCCCACACATGTACACACACACACACACACACACACACACATTTATACCACACATACATGAAAATGGGGGAAAAAAGGCATTAGTTTTAGTAAGTGCTCTCCCGCTGTTCCCCCCTCAGGCTGTATGAACCAGTACAATTATTGTCACTCGCATTTGACAGGAGAGAAAAACCGAGGCCCACAGGACCATTAGACAGAAAATACTAGGGTCATAGTCAAAGCCATGCTCCCATCGCCCTCACTCCCCTGACCTCTCTCACACAATTTTGCTCTTTTTTCCAGTTTGGCACTGACTGGGCCGTGTACATGACCAAGCCAGATGGCACATACGTAGTCAGGACAGTCCGAGAGCTGCTGCCGGCCTCGTTTGGGCCTGAAGACCTGCAGAAGATTCACTGAAGGCAAGAGCGTGCCTGCCTATGTGAGCCTGGGTTCCCTACCTAAAGGACAGGCCCTGGAAGATTTCATAATGATGCTGTTCCTGGCTGGACCTGGAGACACCTGCCACATGGGTCCCAAATGGCCAGGCAAGGGAGACCTTGATTCCCACACCACAGTCTTCCCTAGAGTGATGGAAGTTGTCCCTCTGCCTCGGCCCAAAGCCAGCGTCCTTCTGGGGACTCTGAGCACTGTGCTCCTTCCTCTTCCTCCTGCAGGCAGGCCCTGGCATTCCAGGCCTGGTCTGCCTTCCTGCCAGCCTTTCAAGGCTCTGTCCTGTTCCCTGTGACTCTTCTGATTATAAACACCACAGAACATTCTGGCTGAGAAAAATGAGTTTTTAGTCTCTGTGTGCAGCTCGTAGTGGGTGGTTCATCTCACGAGACAGAGGATGTGGGTGCTTCCCAGCACCCCTCTCTGTGACATCTGAGGTCAGAGGCTCCTCGTTCCTGTGTTCTTAGATGGGAGGCTCCTTGATCTCAGGAGAACCTCTTGCTACCGTGTGGACGTGGGATGGAAGCTGTGTCATTGGGGGCGTGTCCCTGAAGGATGCGGAGGCATCCAGACTTCCTCCTCCTCCTCACTTCCTAGCTAGCTAGTGAGGTGAGCTGCTCTTTACCACACTCACAGTGATGTGCACCTCCCCAGCCAGAAGCTGAACGTCAAGGGGTCCACAGGCCAGACCCCCCAAAAACTATAAGGCCAAATAAACCTCTCCTCCTCATAAGCTGATTCTCCCAAGTGTTTGGCTCAGGGCGGAGAGCTGCCTGACACACCATTGCTAGAGATCAGAGTCTTGATGCCACCCACGGCCACAGCTGTGAGAGACGACACAGTGTAAGGGGAAGCGTGGGCACGGTGGAAAAGATAGCTCTCAGGACCCACTAAGTGCCGCATGCTTTGATACTATTCCTTATTTTCAATGCTCAGTGGTTCCAGGAGCTGGCTGTCACCTCCCTTTATAGGTCATGGGTCAGAGTAACTGAGAATTTATTCTACAGCCAGGTAGAACTCAGCAGAGAATCCAGATCCCTTGGGGTGTGATGGTGCACACCTTTAATCCCAGCACTTGGGAGGCTTAGGCAGGAGTCTCTCTGTGAGTTCAAGGCCAGCCTGGTCTACCTAGAGAGTTTCAGGCAAGTCAGGGTGACTTAACGAGACCCTATCTCAACCAAAAGAAAAAGAAAGGTCCAGATCCCTTGGTCCACAGTGACATGGAAGTTGTGTGCTCTGCTGAGGTTTTTGACATGAAGGAACTCACTGCACCCTCACTTATCAAACCCATAAATGGTTTTGTTTTCATTCTATCAATAAATGCATTGAGGATCAGAGAGGTTAAATCATTTGCCCAAAGTCAAACAGCCAGCAGATGGCAGAGCCAGAACCTGCTCTGTCCGGTTCTGAACACTTTTCCTCCATTCTCCCACAGCCAGGACTGTTTACTGGGTGTCTCTCGTATGTCAAATATGCTGAATTCTGCAGAAAGAACAATGTAGAAGAAACAGGCTGCTCTTGAGGAATGCTCAGCATGAAGAGAGGGGGAGTAGGAAGATATAATACACACACAGGCACGCACACATAACTAGGGAGAGATAAGGTTGCACCATGACCAGGGAGGGAGAGGAGTGAACACCATGACCAGGGAGGGACAGGAGTGAACACCCACCATGGCCAGGGAGGGACAGGATGCATGCCATGACCAAGGAGGAACAGAGATGCGCACTGACCAGGGAGGGACAGGTATTCACGCTAACCAGTGAAGTACAGTGATGCATGGTAACCAGGGAGGGACTGACTGCTTTGTGCATTAGTAAGCACACACACATGCATACACACGCACGCACACATGAGCACGTGCACACACATATGCATATACAGACACAAATATAAAAAAATAAACACACAGAGGCACACATGCATGCATGCACTAAAAATAAAATGTTAAAAGAAGTTTGTGCTTTGGCTTAAACAACCTTCAGGTCACGTGGCTTGGTGTGAGCTATTTCATTATTCTGAGACTCCCTATCCTCATCTGTAAATGGGGCTGTTGTGAGGGTCTGAATGAAATCATGCAAAATTAAAAGCCCTATGTTTAAGCCACATGTGGTGGTCCATGCCTGCAATCCCAGTGTCTTAGCAGGGGTTTCTATTGCTATGATAGAACACCATGACCAAAAGTGGCTTGGGGAGGACGGGGTTTATTTCATCTTGTTCCTCCACATCTCAGTCCATCATTGCGGGAAGCAAGGGCAGGCACTTGAGCAGCAGCCTGGAAGCAGGAACTGAAGCAGAAACCATGGACAAAAGCTTGCTACCCCAGCTTTCTCAGCCTGCTTTCTTGTCCAACCTAGCTTCTGTCAAGGCGACAAAACCTACCCAGGCAGGACCTGGTGGCACACATCTTTAGTCTCAGCTCTAGGATAGCAGAGGCAGGCAGATCTCTGTGAGTTCAAGGCCAGCCTGGTCTACATAGTGAGTTCCAGAACAGCCTTGGCAGTATAGAGAGACCCTGTTTCCACAAACAAATGAAACTAAATAGGACACCGAGCATGTGGGAGTCTGAGGCAGAAGAGTCATGGCAAGTTCAAGGCCAGCCTGGCAGCAGAGTGAGCCTGTTAAAAATCAGCAGCCCAGCAGCAGGTGCTCAGCAGGAAGCCCGAAAATGTCAGCGCTTGCCTTAGTCTAAGGCGAAACATTCTGGGCCTTTGAGGATGAATTTTGCAATCAGGTAATCTTTACAACCAATTTGATTCTCTCTCTCTCTCTCTCTCTCTCTCTCTCTCTCTCTCTCTCTCTCTGTTTCTCTCTCTCAGACAGGGTCCCATGTAGCCCAGGCTGGGCTCAAACTCACTGTGTAGTCAAAGATAACCTTGAACTTCTGCTCCGTTTGTCTCTACCTCTCAAGTGCTATGACTACAACTGTACAAGTGTACAAGTGTTCAGGTTTTATGGGGTGCTAGGGCTGTGTGCATGCTAGGTCTACACTCTACCAACTTATCCGCATGCCAACCCCTGATTCCCTTAACTACATACTAACAGCTCTGTGCTGGTGCTGGGACACAGCAGGGGATAAATTGAAGTCTCTGGCCTCACAGAGCTCAGTCATGTCAGCCAAGGGGAAGACAATGGCAGGGAACAGATGGCACAGAGCTCCCCAAAGAAGACAGCCATATTTCAGCCAAGGGTTAAGAAGGGTCAAGACAGGTTGGGAACATACAAAAGATTGTGCCATGGAACCCTGGGGGGCTGGGGAGGGTGAAAAACAAGGCACAGATACAGGGACTCTGTGAAAGCAGGCAGGGGAAGTCATTACTCAATGGAAGCTTCCAGAATTAGTTGAATAGTATCCCCTAGGAAGAGCTATAGTTATTGGTCCAAGAGAGGCTGGGATGTTAAATCCAAAGCATTTTCACTTGGCACCTGGCTGTGCAGCACACATGCGCTGTCAAGCGGGGTTTTCAGAACCCCACCTGCTCTATTGTTCAGTGTGTCGGTGCCAGTAGAACCCTAAGGCACAGACCCAGATTCCGATGGAAATAAATAGAAGCATGTCTGCTTCCTCTGCTCTTGCCAGCTGCTGCCGCCTGCCTCCTTCCATCCCACGAAGCTGGAGGATTTCCTCTGGGCAGGAACAAGGTCACAGCTACAATGACAAATACCAGCAGTACACAGTGCCTGTGTCTCGAGTGAAAGCCACTATTCCTGAACAAGTAGCTGGGCGTAGTGGTGTGGGCCTGGAATCTCAGCCACCCGAGGCTAACGTGGGTGGAACAGGAGTTTAAGGCCAGTCTGAGTTAGTTAGACACACAGTGATTTGAGAGCCAGCCTGGGCAATTAACTTAGCAAGACCACACCTGAAAAAGAAAGGTTAGGACTAAAGATTTGGCTCAGTAGTTAAGAGCATTTAGCATGTACTGCTCTTGCAGAGGACCAGGGTTCAGTTCCCAGCACCTATATTAGGAGGCTCACAACTGCCTGTAACTCCAGATCCAGGGGACCCAACACTCTTTTCTGGCTTCCACGGGCACCTACACACATGTGATGCACATGTCACACAGGAACACGAATACATGTAGAAATCAAAATAAATACATACAAATAAAAAGTAATGAGGCAGGTGGATCTCTATGAGTTCAAGGCAAGCCTGGTCTACACAGTGAGTTCCAGGACAGCCAGGGCTATAGAGAGAGAGACTTTGTCTCAAAATAAATAAATATCAATGAATTGTTTTTTTTTTTTTAAAGATTTGTTTATTATGTATACAGTGTTCTGTTCTATCAGCATGTGTCCCTGCTGGCTAGAGAGGGCACTATATCTCATTACAGGTGGTTGTGAGCTACCATATGGTTACTGGGAATTGAACTCAGGAACTCTGGAAGAGCAGCCTCTGCTTTTAATCTTTGAGCCATCTCTCTAGACCAAACTGTTTTGTTTTTAAGGGCTAGGGACATAACTCAGTGGCAAAGTACTCACCTAGCATGTGCAAGGCTCCAGTTCAATCCACTATAATGCAAACGATGGGCTGGCAGGTGTCGGGGGTGAGGAAGAAGAAATAGAGCTGGGGATGTAGCTCAGAGTGCTTGTCTAGTATGTGTGAGGCCAGATCTTCCCCAGCACCACAAAGATAGAGAGGGTGGAGAGAAAGAGCATAGAGATGGATAGATAGATAGATGATAGATAGATAGATAGATAGATAGATAAATGATAGATAGATAGATAGATAGATAGATAGATAGATAGATGAATGGATAGAGTAGTTAGATAGATTATAGATGATTGATTGATGATAGATGATAGACATAGAGAGAAAGATAAGTAATAGATGATAGATAGGCATAAAAAGATAGAAAAATAAACAGATAGAAGATAGATTATAGGTAGATGATAAGTCAATGATAGACAAATGACAAGTAGGTAATAGATGATATAGATTGTAGATCATGATCGTTAAGTGATAGATGGTAGATAGTTAGAAATATATGGGTAATGATAGTAGATAGATGTTAGATTAATTATAGGTAGCTATCTTACTGAGTCTCAGACATGTACATGACAGAAGTTGTACTAGAAGTCTGTTGATGCCTGCAAACCAGAAGGGGGCACCAAATCTCATTATAGATGGTTCTAAGTTGCCATGTGGTTGCTGGGAATTGAACTCAGGACCTCTGGAAGATCATCCAGTGCTCTTTACCTCTGAGCCATCGCTCCAGTCCCTGCCTGTTTAACAACTTAAAGGAGGAAGAATCTATTAACTCCTGACCTCAGAGGTCGAGTGCATTGCGACCTGGAGGACCCAGTGAGGCTGAGCAGGTCACTGCTGTGGTAGACAGAAGCAG